CGGCCCCGCCCCCCACCCCGACCCATCCCGGGCCCACGGGTGGAGAACCGGGGCGCGGATCGGTGCTCAACACCCACACACCTGCGCACACGGGACGCGCACGCATACAGTGCGAACCATCGCGGGCTCCCGGGCGCGGGGCCGGCCCCCCCCGCAGGGTGACTCACTCCGGGCCGGGCCGTTCCCGGTAGCGGCCGCAGCGCTGGGCAGCCTGCCCCGAGCGGCTGACCCCGCAGCGGCTGCCGGGAAGCCGCCCTGGCGCTGTCCTCCCGCGGCCCCGCAGGGCCCAGCAGGGCGCTGCTCTGGCCTTCGCCCTCGCCCTGAGCACTGCCCGCCGCGCTCCACGACGCTGCTCTCTGTGGTGTCCCAGACTGTCCTGTCGGCTGGGGGTCTCCGCATCCGAATCTGGTTCGGGCCCGTGGGAGGGGCTTCCGGTCAGGGACCTTAGGACCCCGCTGTGTCCCCACCCTGTAGGTGTGCAGCCTCGGCCTTTCTGTGGAGTCAGCCACGGGCTCTCCCATCAACCACACGACCTTCCAGACCCCGGTGGGGGGCCAAGTGAGCAGGCTCCCACGAGCCAAAGCCCCCCTCCCCGGGGGAGTGGCACCCCTCCCCCCAGGTCTCCCTCCTCCAGGTAGCCAACATCCACCGGGCCTGTGTCTACTGTAGGGTCTGGCCACCCTGGCCCACAGGAGGTCCCCAGCATGGCTGTGACAGGTCCAGGGTGCCTGCTCACCAGCTCTGGGAGTCACCTGAGATGGGGTGGCCTAGAACTCCTGTCCCAGTCTGCTCCTCCCTGCTCGCTCTGGGGCAGGGTGGACTTCACTCTGCTCTGTCCTCTTCATCTCATGGGGGAGGTGCGTGTGCTGCCAGGGCCTGCCCAGGACCCCAACCCGGTAATCCTGCTGCCTTCCTGAGAGCCCCCTCTAAGTTAGGCCAAGGCAGACGCATTCTGAAGAACAGACACCTTGGGGTGTCTGCCCAGAGAGTCTCCCCCCTCAGGGGCCACCTCCGCCCCCCACCACAGGGGCCCCATGCCATGGGGGGGTGTTCTTTCCAGGGCAAAGCCAGAATCCACCACTACCAACTACTAAGCCTCTGACCCCCAAAGCTGACCTCAGGACCACAGTGCGGGGTGGGGGGTGAGGACCCTCTCCATGACAGAAGCCAGCCCCATCCTCTGCTGCAGAGTGGTGCAGCTGCCAGGCGCTCCTGCCATCCAGCCCAGCTCCAGCCTCTCCCTTGCTCCCTTCTGGGGACAGAAGCCCCGGGAAGGCAGCAGGCAAGGCCTGGCTTGGGGACTGACCTCCCCTACCTTGCTCCCAATACCATGGGGACGCAGACCACCCCCAGTAGTATAAGGCCACGTGACCCCTCAACATGTCACCCAGGGTGCCGCACAGCCCTGTGGTGCCCTGCCCTCCCTTTCACTGGGGTTCAGGCTGGGTCCTCACTCTGCCTGCTCTGCTGGCCTCTCCTGGCAGGTCACGAGGCGGGGACGCCCAGAGCATCAATCATTGATGTCCACTGCAGCAGCACAGCAAAAATAGTCTTGCCACCAGCCCCGCCCTGCCCCTCCCCAGCACACAGGCACGGCCGAAGCGGCCACCAGGGACCCTCAGACATCCTACCTGCCTCATCCTTTGCTCAGAGACGCTGGGGAAGTTCTAGGCCTGCGAGGCTCAGAGCCGGGGACTGCAGTGGGTAGGGGCTCTCACCTCCCTACCACAGCAGCCATGCCCTTGCCGCCTCCATCTCTCCCACAGCCAGGCCTGCTTCATGTCTGGACGGGCCTCCAGGACTTTCCCTCTGCCTTTGCATAGCTTCATGGCAGGGCTCAGGAAACAGGGCTGCGGCAGGCTGGCTGTTTTGTTGTTGTTTCAGAGCTGAGGACAGAGCTCAGGGCCTGGCACTTGTTAGGTAAGTGCTCTTCTACTGAGCTCATCTCTAACCCCCAGATTGACTTCTTCACACACATTCTCTTTCTTTCTTTCTTTCTTTTTTTGCATTAAGAGTCACTAGATAGTCCAGGCTGACCTTGAACTTGCAATATTTCAGCCTCAGGTTCCTGCTGGGATCACAGGCATGTACCACTATGCTTTGTCCTTCCTATCTCTTTCTTACAAGGACCCTGCTTACTCTGGGCTCAGCTGTATAACTCAAGCCCATCTCTTCACCTCCAGATCTGTCTTTAATGACATGTGTAAGTCCCTTGCACTTTGTAAGATCCATATTCACACCTTCTAGGAATCAGAATGGGAGTATTTCTGAGGAACCAGTAGCCACACTGGTAATGCAGATCACCCCAAGCTGGGCCTGTGGGCTAGGAACCAGAGACTGCTGTGTTCTTGGTCCCTGAGTGGTTTCTTCCTGTGTGCACACCGAGGGCCTGGAACTCCCCCCTCTCCTCAGGGATCTGCACTTGGGAACGTGATGAAGGCTGGGGCACTCCAGCCTACATGTGGTCACTCTAGCACTGGGTCCAGGCCTCAGCCCTCGTCCCTGTGCAAGACTGTCTGTCCTCCTACCCTACCAGCTCCCCAAACTCAGTAAGGGTGGGGGGAGGGGGATTGGGGGATGGGGGACGGAGCGGGGGGGGAGGGAGCTGGAGCAGAGGTGATGGATAGACCCAGGGCCTGCTGGGTAGTCAGTGCCCTGCTGATGTCAGAGACAAACTGAAATCAGTGTCTGCAAACCCAGACAGCATCTGACCCCGCCCTGCAGGGCAGGTGTGGGTGCTGGGGCAGCTGAGCCAAGACCCAATCTGGAGCAGTCTGACTGCAGGGCACCACATTGCCCCTCGGGAAATGGAGTGTGTGTGTGTGTGTGTGTGTGTGTGTGTGTGTGTGTGTGTGTGAGGGGGGGGCAGAGGGAGAGAGAGAGAGAGTTATCATCCAGGATGCAGGGAGGAGGGAGGGGCAAGGCTATTATCCAAGACGCAGAGTGATCTCATCTTGTCACTTTTGAGTCAGTTTTTCCCGTAGCTGAGCGGAGGGACTGGCCAGGGACTAGGTGATTCATGCTAGGGCAGGACCCCAGCAGAGCTCAAGGAGGTTGCAGGTAGAAGACCTGTGAGCATGGAGGTGGGCTGGGGCTCCAATGGTGGCCTGGAGACCCCTTCTTGGAGAAGGCCTGGATGGGGTGTCAAGGCTGACTTCCTGAGCTAAAGTTGGGAAAAAGCAAGGCAGATCTGAGGGAGGGGAGGATTGGGAGAGGGGTAAGAGGAACTCATTAGTGTCCTTACTCTTGGACAGGAGAGGTGGAGGGAGCGGGCAGCTCCCTGGCCAGGCAGGTCCTGCTGGGCCTCAGGTGCAAATTGTGGGAGGAGGGGAGGCACACAGGAAGGCTGGAGAGAACAGAGATGGGAGAACAGAGGTGAACACGACGACCAGAGCAGGTTTACTCCGGCAAACCTGAGGGAACTTCCACACCCAAGTACAGAGAGCCTCTCTTACAGGCTGAGGGGCTTCCGGGGGAAATGAGGCTGAAATTGATGCTGTGCTGCAGGGCAGGGTACCCAGTGGGGCAAGGCCTAACGTTCATCATCCTTTTCTTTCCCTCCACCTCCCACAAGTTAAGGCAATTCGGGGACAGCAAGATAGACTTAGCTCCTGCTGTCAGGGAACCTCCAGTTCCGTGGAGAAGACTCCGACAGTACCCAGCCTGGGGCAGGGCGGGCGGGGTGTCCCCG